GTAGTTATTCACGATAAACTTGAATAATTTGCAATTAAATCTTTTTGAGTCATACATCACGCAGTACAGACCAAGAGCTATAACGACATATATTCGGCTGGTAAATTGAAATAGCTTATACTGCAATAAAATTTAAAATAATTAAATTAATTATTCATTAATAATACTTAATTAATTATTTATTTATAATATATTACCCTCAATTATTTACTCAGCTTTTATTAATTTTTCTCACATAAGCAGTGATTTTTTAATCTTATATTTTCCCTTAATTTATGAGTGAATTACAGTCAACCCAAAGATGCCGGCAATGCTGGTTTTATTAGCATGAATTCAATTAACCGGAGCAGGATCGGCGAATTTCGGGCTGCCTGCATTTCAGAAAACCTGGATTTGGGTGCTATGGAAGGGAGAAGCCCTAGTGTTTCCTCTAAACCCATGGCTGCACTATCCAATGACGAACAGCTCTTCGAAAGACAGAGCACGGGGAATAACATAACGTTGACCAATGGAATGACGGCTACCAAGGATGAAAGTAGGTGTTAGCAGAGATTATGCCTCAAAAAACTATCAAGATTCAGCTCTAGGCCATCATAATTACTAATATTTAAGCAAAAAAGGAATGATGCAACTTCTAGAGTTTCTAAAATGACAATAATTTTGACTAAAGATGCCATTCAGCACTTACAAGAGCTTTCTTATTAGAAGACTACAGTAAAGTTTTTAATTTCTCTTATCGAATCAGATTTGCGATTCCTCTGACCAGGAATTGAGTTCGAATCTTGCAAGTGTGTTTAAACCAAAAATATAAATTGTATTTTCGGATAGATGGGAGAGTAACTTAAGGCTACAATGTAAGTCGAATAGCATAGGACACATAAGAACATCTCCTAATATACTTATTGCTTAACGGCAAACTGCTAAGACAGTTAAAATACCATGTTTCAGGTAGTCTTCAGCAACATTAAGTGTTACCTTAAAATGCTAGCTAAATACTGAAAAAATCGTAGTTGCCTAATTTTTAGGTCTTGGATAAAAGTTCTTTATATTAATTTGCCTCAAATAAGAGACAATTTGAATTTGTAGAATTCTCATAAGAATACTGTCAAGTTAATAAGATGTAAAATAATTTCTTACTTCCCCATATATTTTTTACAATCAATTATACGAAACTTTGCTTTACCAAAAGTAAGCTGTAGGCTCCAAACGATAGGGGCTTAATACATAATGACGCAATTTAGGATATTATTGAATTGGGTCTGGTTGTGTATTAAAATATACTTGCAAAAATATAAAATTAAATGCTACTTCAAATGAAAAGCCCAAATTTGATTCAGCTATTTTTTTTTAAAACAAACGCTTTCTCTTGATTCACGTTCAAGCCTTGAATACGTTTCAATATAAGTTTTTTACATTTCCAAAGCTTTTGAGCCAAATATTGAAAGACCAGATGGCAGTAATGAGACTCAAAAGTTGGGCACTGCTCTTAGTCTCGGAATCTGCTATTCAGCAACCTGTGGTGGAATCGCCACACTTACGGGCACTGGACCAAATCTCATTCTACAAGGAAACGTTAATACGTAAGAACAGGCAGTTTCAATTTATATTTGAATAGGGTACTTGTAATTTTATCGCTATTGCTTTTGCCTAACTATTTTTTTGAGGATACTGAAGATGCCTACAAAGCATGTGGTAAGCAGGTTACAAAATAGGTGGTAATTGTTACGAGTTTGGTATCCTCTGAAATCGAATGAACCTTGTGTCCTTCTCGAAGCTCAACAGACTGATTTTTACATTATTTATCAAAAGTTTGGGAATTCATTAAGGCATGTTTATTCCGCTAAAGCTAAATATTCTATAATACTGAATTTATTAAAGAGGCACAAGATAGCAACGCTAAAATTAAGTGATTTCATTGATGCAAATACTTCAGCTCTGAACAAGAAATAATTTTCGATAAATTCACTTGGAGAATCTAAAAATGCTCGAGGAACGTGGATTAGAATCGAGATTAGAAGCAAGCAAAAAGTTCCAAGCGGCAAAGAGATGATCAAAGAAAGATTGGAGATATGTAGAATTGGACAACAGCGACCACAATGTCTTCAAATGAGTATATGAGATGTATTCACCTTATTTCGTCTAAGGTGATGAAGGACTGGTAGTAGAACTTTTCCGCAATGCTATGAGTAGAGCTGATGTTTCCATTGCATTTGACAGAGCCTTGCTTTTCCCAAATTTGTTCTCATCCAGGATGGACTGCAGTTTCGATCTCGCATAGGTCTTATCATCACCTCCAGCATGAGTCGAAATGTGACAATGAGGCATGTGAGCTGGACACGTAAATCATTCGGCCACATGGCCATGAGCCATTCGGACACGGGTAGTCTTGAAACTTTACTTACAGACAAAAAATTCAAATGAGTATGTTTATGGCAAATAAAGATGCAAATATGGGATAGTCAGCGGCCGAGTATGCACCAGTCTTAGGATTTCCTTCTTACCCACACAGTGATCTATACCGAGTTGAGTATTGTGCGCAAAGCGTTCATATTTATTGTTTATACAATAATAAATTCAATAATAATATATAACACACGTTTGCCTTACTGGAAATTCCATTATGAATCGGAAGTAAGAGAGGCCTGGTCTTTCTCGGATGTCGCATCACATTTGTGGCCTACCGGCAAAGATGAGTGCATGGCGAAATGGTAAATTTTGACAATTTATGCACACGCCTC